TTGTAGCCGGGATGAGGCTAAGCAAAACATGAAACAGACAGGATACGTCTTCCCTACCCTTTTGTTCCTTCCTTTTTCTCCCCATCAATCCCTACTTTTTTTACTCCCAAGCCTCCTTATACTATCTTTTGCTATCAAAAGCTTATTCCTGGGCAGTATCCCGTGAATATTTAGGTGTTGTCCCTTCCTGTGAACATGTGCCTTTTAACAGAAGGCTAAATGGGAAAAGAACAAACATGAACAATCAAAGCTTATCATGGGGCAGCTGGATTCCTAACATGTGTTGTATTATCTAGTCCTCTAAGTAACTCTATGAGTTAAATACTGCTATTTCAATATTACAGATAAGAAAACAAAAAGGAAGTAGAGACAATAGCAAGGAAGTGTGTTGGAATATAAGAGTGAGTGGAGGGGCCGGGAGAGGGGTGGGAGTGTGGGGTGAGGTGATACAGCCCATTGGCTTTGCTAAGTGCCTTCCACAACTCTGACAACTTTGACCACAGTTATGGAATCAGTTGTGGTTCTGTGTGGGTCTTTCAACCTGATTCTGAAGAGACGGCTGCTGTTGGAAATTCTCTTACTTGGTCAGTTCCTTGATTTCTTAATCAGACAGAATAAGAAAAGTTCTCACAAAGTCATGCAAATGGGCTCCCAATCCCCCTCTTTCAGGCTGAGTGATCTCAGGAAAATTAGAGACCCCCTTTCTTTCCAAGACCCTTCATTCCTTCTACTTTGATGCTTCTGAAAAGTAGGTATTGAAACTCATAGAAGTAAAAATTTACTTACCTCTCAAGTCATTCCTACAGGCCAAGCCCATCCCTCTGTCTCCGACCACTTTTGACTCCTAAATACTCAGTGTTCTGTTTTAAATTTATGGTGACTTTCAAATTCCTCTATCCCCTTCTTTCTCACTCTTCACTTTGATATGATCAAAGTAACTTTCTGAAGAAGGTAGGATGTGCAGTCTTCTCATAGACTTCTTGGTGAAGATGTTTACAGAGTTAACAACAGACAAGTGTAGGAAGGTGAGAGACTCTCGAATCAGATGCATTTGCAAACTTATCCACATTCATCCTCTCTCCCATCCCCAAACCCAGTCCTAATAAGTTATTATTGTTGCTTCAATGACAATATAAATTATATTGTGATGACATTCTTCAGTTTTTTCTGCACATGGAGCCATAGAGGATAGATTAAGAATTGCATTTGATTAGATCTACCTTTGTAGAATAATGATACTATTACAGCAATTCATAGTTACCATGCAATTCTAGCAAAAGCAAAGAAAGCAGACTTCCAACCTGAGACATATGTTTTATCTATATTTTAATCAGCAATGATTTTTACACAACAATCTGCATTTAAAGAAAAAACTTGATATGTCCAGAGGCATAACTAACAACATTAAGACTTGCTGTGTCTGAATTTCCAAACAACTCGTCATTGTATAGGATACCAAGGTTTACAACCTAAAGAAATCCTGACATCACAGCCTGCTCAGTGAATTTCTCATAAAACAGCATTTCTCTAGGTTGAAGTCATTCCCTCAAGAGGAAACATTTTTTATTGTACCTGAAGGATCCTGATGATAAAAACAATAATCTAAGTGATTGAAAACATTTAGCATAAATTAATTGAGTCCTTTGCAAAGCATCATTATTGAGCACTTCAGAAAATCCAAGTGTTTGGGAGGAAATAGCTTATTAACTTTTGTTCTTTAATGAGGAGAACACTGCAGACAATGTTTCATTGATAAAATTTGCTTGAACCAAGAGAGGATAAAGGTAAATCTAGGATTTTTATAATATTCTACCAGACCGGCCTTCCTTCCTTCCTTCCCTCCCTCCATTCCTCCTTCCCTCCTTCTCTCTCTTCCTTTCTTCCTTGTTTCTTTCTGCCACCCTGTGTCTTATGGCTAAAGAAACACTTCACATCCTATAACTGCACAGAAAGCAGGAAGAAATTTCATTCTCTGATAGTTAGAAGTGCTGTGTGTTTTGTTTTTCGTATTGGTAGCTGATTTATTTTGGGGGCTGATGTGTTTGAATGGGATTTGAGCTTGTGGGGGTAATGACTGGTACTGAGAAAAAAGTTCATGTCTACGCTTTTCCTTTTTGTTACGTTTTTACACTAATATACAGTTTGATAGTTATGCAATTAAAATTATACAATGGATCATATTTGTTTTATACACACAATTTGGAGATTTAAATAAGCTCAGAATGTTTTTAGCTAACCTCATAATTCTTCACTGTGGTACCAGAATGATCATGTCGTTGAACCAGGAATGCATACAAGCTATTTAGAAGCATCATTTTCACTGATCTGATTCGACTGTTAGTAGGTGAATTGTTGTTGTCGTTAGGTGCCATTGAGTCGATTCTGGCTCATAACGACCCTATAGGACAGAGTAGAACGGTCCCACAGGGTTTCCAAGAGCGGCTGGTGGATTCAAACTGCTGACCTTTTGATTTGCAGCCCGAGCTCTTAACCACCGTGCCACCAGGGCTCCTTAGTAGGTGTATAGCACCAGACAAACTATATAATGTTTCTAAACCTCAGTTTCCTGACTGACACATTGAAGTGATAATGTTATTGGAAGAATTAAATGAGATTATGCATCAAAAGCGTTTATCACAGTGTATGTACAAAAGGGCCAAGTTAAGTGTTAGCTCTGATTGTGAACCGACTCTTTCGCAATTAATGAAAATCACTGGACAAAGTTCCATGATCGCTTATGTAAAAATAATCCAGGGAGTTAGTCGAACTGCTTTGTTTAAATTACCCCAGTGTAAGATGTGACTATAAAGATGTGATATTTTTAAGTATATACATTTACTTGACTGGTATCCTTTAAGTATCTTGGAAGCTAGGCACGTATTCTAACAATTTTACTACGGCTCAAAAAAAAAAAAAAAAAAAGGTTAGAATTTATTTTTGGAAAATTCTTCAGAAGTAAATTCTGAGCCATATTAAAAATCATTGTCATTGCTTTTATTTGACTAAATATTAAGCCCATTCCTGAGAGGTGAGGAAGGTCAAATGAGATACTCTATTTAATTTGAGAGAGCTCTGTAAATTATAAAGAGCTATACAAATGTAAAATGCTACAGAGTAAAGTATTAAAGGCTGAATATCCTCACAAAGAATATTAACTAATAGGCCTCAGGCTCTTAAGAAAATTGAAATCGTCCAAGTATTTTAAACTCTAGCAGCAACATTATGACGTGTAAAGTCTCTGAAGTCCTACCTGGAGATGGACAACATCTATTTGAATATGTTAAGTTTAATCGATTAAAAAAAAATCATTTATGCTATATTGATTTTGTCACTACTTGGCCATTTCCTGTCATATCTAAAATTCTCTTCTATCAACTAATTTTTCCCAGATAGATCTCACACGGCTAAACCAAGCTCTTCATTTGTTTGTTTTAGTATTCCTCTAAGGTTGGGTCAGAAAATTTGCCATAGCGAACCAACCATGACTTGGGCTGGAATACCACAACTCGGTGATTCAGGAGTCCTTCTCGCAGCGAGTAAATGATTTACGTAAAGGGCTGGGGTTGAAATGAACATTTAAAAAAATGTTTATGTTTGTAATTTGTGGAGTGTGGTCAGGTGAGAGCAAGGGAGTTATAAACTGAGTGGATCAGAGAATAAATATTAAGGTCTGGAAGAGGAAGCTTAGGAAAACGACAGCCACAAACGGGCAGGTGGGAAAATGCTTCCAGTTCTGAGGCATGTTTCAACAGACGATAAGATGTGACTGGGCTGATTAAACATAGTGTGTCTCAAACGGACCATCATCGGATCATCTCAGCTGAGAACTTAAGAGAAAGCATGGTTTGATCATATGTTGTTTCCTAATTTGAAGAGATCCACTTCACTTCGCTATTATCTGCTGTGGACGGAATTCTCTTCAACTGTTCGTCAGAGGTCATTTCAAATCCTTTTGACTTTTTTAATTTACACGTTCAGCACTCCTTTTTTCTGTTCTGTCATTTTGTATTAATTGTATTTTCTGGCTATCGACTGGATGTGATACTTCCTAATAAAAGCCGACTTATCTTTTCCTCCTGGGTACACCATGGACGTATCCTAATCAGTGTCTGCTGAGGCATCTTATCACAGCTGGGAAGTCAGGGATTGTGAATTAGCAGCACTGCTAATGTGCAAATAGAGGAAGAGGGAAAACTTTGCAAGCTGCATTTTCTGTATTATTACACCTCTTTAGATATTCGTAGGAAACTCAGAAATGTATACACAACCTATTGTTCAACATTGGGCTTTAAAGAGAAATAGCAAATAGTATTTTGAAAGTGGGTGAATAAATCATTTTTACTAGACGAAAATGAGTAAAATTCTTTCAAGTTTTCCACAAATAATTAAAAGCTTTAACAGAGATATTCCTAGAGCAGGCCACGTGCTTTGCAACCTAGCTAAATCTGTTAGGCAGAAGGAAGTGGGGACAGAGCCACAATACCGAAGGTACGTTCTGAATATAATGGAATGCAAGCCTGGAGCTAGAAAATACTCGGCTTTAGGTTTATCAGTGGATAAATTACAGTGGATAAAAATTATCAAGCTTCCAATTTTCTCTATAACTTACAGATCCTCAGTAGTTTCTTTCTATAGCTTGCAAAATGAAAGAATCTCTTGAAAATGCATGCATACTACTTGCCATTGTGTTTTGATTCATTTGACGAAATTCTAATTTCAGTACTTTAAGAAATACTATGTACTGTTTGCATTGTCCTGCAAATGAACCTTCAATTTAACACATTTTCCTTTTAGAAAGGAAGGGGTTTGGAATGAAGAAGAATAAAATTACAGTGTCACTAAATCCTTCTTATTCAAAATCACTTCTGTGCTCTTCACATTTGTAGATTTAATGTGTTAGAATTTTCGAAGATTTAAGTTAGAGTTAAAGAAGACATGTCTGAAAACAGTGTATCATTTAAACATTGATTTTCAGATGATAGTTTTATGAACATTCCAACTTGGCTTCTAAGTTAGCATGACATATCTTTTCATAAATACAATTGTTACATTGAGAATGATCTCTTATTCCAGGCATCTGAAGAGAGATGAGAAATTACGACTTCGAGAAGACATATTTGTCGGGACAGAACAGCTCAGTTACCATAGCCCAGGAAGTAACATCACCACACCCATCAGAGTAAGCGTCATAGATTCAGTCGCTGTTGAGCATCCTGCTCCAGTCGTGTCGAAAGTACTACCACCGTCTGTTTGATGGATTTGCTTTACGTCACTGAGGTTCATCTCATCTGGCATCCCTGCAGAGGTAAATAAGAAAACACAGGATGGTGTATGGCCACCTCACCGTGCGGCATCTAGAACAGCCCTTAAGCGCAAAGTGTGGACACCATGGCTGTTTGGTAGCTTTCCCTATATGTTCACCTGACTTTAAGTGATCAACGTGACATAGGTACTCCTGCTCTGCTTAAATTGGTGAGTGCAGGCCCTTATAGGAGAGTTCTCAGAAATATTACAAGAGCAAAATAAAAACCTTTTCAACTTTCTAAAGCATTTTAAATATACCCCTAATGTCATTGATTGACAGGAAAGTAAAGACATTTAATAAAATTTCCTGCTGTATGGCATTATTGCTCGTCCTAGACATGTAACAATTGTGGTAACTGTGTGAAAATTTTCTAGTGAAAATAGAAGACATGTAAGAGAAAATAAATAGGACATTTTTAAAAAGTATAATTTCAACAGATCTTATTTTGTGTTAAGGCAAACCATGCTAGGATCCTTGTTGGAAAAAGAGAATAACAGTCATAAATTTTCAATGATGTCCTTTATACACACAGATATTTATTGAGAAGAAATAAAACCATAATGTTCCTTAGAAATGAGGATGGTGAAACTTTGTCTTGCTTGCTTTGGACGTGTCATCAGGAAAGACCAACCCCTAGAAAAGGACATCAAGTTTTGGTAAAGTAGAGGGTTACGGAAAACGAGGGACACCCTCAGTGAAATGGATTGATGCAGTAGCCACAACAATGGGTTCAAATATACCAAATGATGAAGAAGATGGTGGAGGACCTGGCGATGTTTCATCCTGTTATACATAAAGCTGCCGTGAGTTGGAGTTGATTCAGCGGCAACTAACAACAAAAATAACACACACATCTGTAGGGATGGGGTATAAGCATCTGTCAGTTGATCAAGAAATTCGTTAATAAGGTGGACTGGGGATTGAAGTTAGAGATGAGTGCTTGATTTAAAAACAAAAACAAACAAACAAAAAGACAGCAAGAGTCACATACCAGGATCCAGTCACATTCTGGTTATTAATTCTGTGTGTTAAGAATTTGACAAGCTAAGGAGGAGGCCAGCCCCCAAAGTATTCGGGATGAAATAATCGTTTGTGTAAAGAAGTTTAGCTTATTATGCTATACTTAGGGAATTACTGATTTATTATTTACCGTCTAGTGCCACCAATGTTCCTAGACTATGTGACTATCTGAATTACCTCATGGCATGCCACAATCAGTCACAATTAACAGGTTTAAATTAAATGTTACTACAGCCACAAATACTGGCATCGTAATTACAGTGAGTCTAAAAGAAAGCTTCATATAAGGAAAGGCCAATATTTATATAATTAGGTCAATAAATATATATAATTCAGAAGGCCAACTTCACTGCTTTCAGGGCTGAGAGCATTCAGAGGAAGCACAGCTCCACTGATCTGCCATATTGATTTAACAGTCTGAGCTCTTGCATTGTTATTCATTGTCTGGGTACTTGTTTTGCCCTTCTGTGTCAATAGGCAAGATGAATAAACCAATGATTCTTTTTTTTTGTTTTGTTTTGTTTTCTTATACAGACTGTAGTGGAGTGTAAATATGTTAGTCATGGTTTTATATTTCTTGTTAAACTAGAGCTTAAGAAGGAGCTATGTAGACTCAAGGCAATTAAAAACCATTTTTTCCCCAAGATAACCACATAAATTTGAGCTTTAAGGGATTTACTTTTCTTTCTTGAGCACTGTGAAGTGGTGTATGAATTGAATCCCTGAAAAACATTTTCCTATGCCTTTCTAAGCAGATATTCCATTCATTCATTCACTCGTTCATTCATTGTTGAGCCAGGTACTGGTCTGCGTTAAGGGGATACCATGGTGAGTATAAATATATAAGTAGAAAGACCTTAAACTTTATGCCTGCAAGTCAGACAATGCCTGGAGGGATATTCCACTTTCAATCAGATGTCACTGTAACATCCACAGTAGAGATGTTACTAATAAACCTAATGGTTCTAAGGGTTACGGTCCCTAAGAAGTCGGTGAAGATAATTCAAGATCCCACCAAGAGCCTGGCAGTCAGGGCTGCGGTTATGGATCAAATCACAAACTGTCTTGACATATGTTAAGACGCCTGGGCACACGGAGAAGGTCAGCCTCAGGATGATTTGATGCGACGATTGTTTTCTTAAAGGAATTTAATTAACTAACCTTGTAAATTATACCAAAGCTTAACCAACGATCCATAAAAGAAAAATCAGTTTAGGCATTTGTTACATTAAAGCATGAAACAAAAACACAGTAATTTTTGAATAATCTTTTCTATGCTCAATAGCAATGTATAAACATGCCAATAAATTCATATTCCTCCCTTTGGTGGCTTATGGGCCAGTGGGGAAAGACACACAGTCGGATTATTACAAAAATAAATAGAATACTAAAATTCAAGCATGTGCCCATGGTTGGTGCTATGAAGTATGTAAGTAGGATATAACTTGGTCAGGGAAGGCTCCTCTAAGGAGGTGTCAATGCTTATTTATTTACTTGGCAACATTTACAGAGCACTTGTTATGGTGCCAGGTACTGTTCCAAAACACTTTACAAATATGAACTTGTTTAATTCTCACAACAATCCCATGCAATAGGTACTATAACTGTCTGTAATTTGTATTTGCTTCTATAGATGAGGAAAGTGAGGCTCTGGAAGGTTAAGTAACGTGTGAGCAGGGGAGCCAGGCATCAATCCCAGGATTTCTGGACCCTCCTGCATTCTGAGCACCTTCAATGCTACTCCAAGCACTTTGCTGGGCACCAAGGAATTACTCTTTAAATTGGAAACAAAGGTCAACTATGTTGTCCATAAAGTGATTAGGAGTTTTGTTTTTCTTTTCCTACCTCCTTCCTTGACATCTGGGATGGCAGATTATGTGCTAGTTTTGTGTGTTAATCAAGCAACTGAAAGTATTCAGAGTTAGAATCCACATGGGCTAGTCATGTATATACTTGCCTGTTTCTTGGGGCAGGAGAGTGTGGGTATATCTCTCTATTTCATCTATCTACACATTTAAAAAGTTTTCTTAGTTTTACTGAACAGAGATGACTATGTTTAAAAGACAATTTATTCCCCCTTTTTTTTAAATAAAGAAAATAACAAGGCAAGCATTTATTCCTTGTTGATTTGCTCACTCATTTATCAAATTTATCTACTGCTAGCTTTGTGTCAGGCATTGTGCTGGACACTGACTATATTAAGCACACACAGGCTTTTTCATCATGGTTACATGAGTTTAAAGAAAAAAGAAAATTCACCAGGTGGTATATTCCAGCGGTGAACATACAGGGCAGGCTTAAATATTGGAGCAGGACTCCCAGTCATTATTTGAAATCACTGCTAAGTTAACCTTAAAGTCAAAATTATTCATATCTAAAAATGATCTGTTTTCAAGGCCTCTATTGTCATGGATATGCCACAATTTGAAGTGAATTTAGGAAACATTTGGTGCCCTATTCTCAAATTGGAGTAGGCATAATCTGGGTGGGGGGGAGAGGAATAGGGATTGTGGGGGACATGGGGATTGTGGTGAAATGAGTTCCTTTATGAGGCCCTTTGGTTTGGTTCTTTGGAAAAACCATTTGAGAGATTTTCCCCTAAATCCTGAGGAATTACCTGGGCCCTAGTTCAGTACACAAGGGGGTTTGTTACTTTTATCCAGGTTGATTGACATTTCCAGGGTAAGCTGTAAACAGCTTGTGGTTTGATACTGTTTGTCTGGCCTTAGGCTGCAGCCTGCCCTGTGATTGGTATGCAACTTTTCAGGGATTGGTCAACAGACTATGCAAATGAAATGTCTGTAGCCTACTATGCAAATGAAGCATCTGTGGCCTATTAAGAGGGGATTGGTCAGTAGGTGGCCTTGGTGTAAGGGCTATGCCTTGAAATTGACATGGAGTTGTGTATATATGCAGCCAACCCCACACAGGTTTTCAGACAGAAAGAAGCAGGAAGAGAAGCAGCAGGAAGAGGCAGGAGGAAGAAAGATGAGAGAAGAGAGAAGAAACAGAGAGAGTGAGGAGGCAAGAAACCCCCTAAAAGAGCTGTAACACGGCTCAAGCACTGTAACACTGAAGACAGCATAGAGGCCCAGAAGGGGCCCAGCAGCAGAGCCGGTGGCAACAAGCCCAGAAGGGGCTCTGAGGCAGTCAGTGGGGACAGATGGCAGGATCAAGAGGAGCCTGTCCTGAGGGAACCTAAAGGAACCTGTCCTCAGGGGCCAAGTGGAGGCCTGCATGGCTGGGAGTAACTGAGAGAGCAGTCCTGCCCTGAACATGGAAGACTTAGCTTGCCTGCTTCCTGCCTGATCCTTAATTGTAGCTTGTTGATTCTAATCCCAACTAGAACCCTGTTACTTCCTTAATAAACCACTTAACTGTAAGCATGGTCTGTGAGTTCTGTGTGGCCATTGCAATGGTTATAGAACTGAGAAGAGAAGCAGACAGTGCCATGGGAGGGATGGCTGGTGTCAGAATTTGTAAAAAGGTTGGAAAGTGGAGGTTAGGTTTGACCTCCACCTCATAGTGTGCAGTTTGATTCTCACTATCCCCCCTGAAGTTAGTCAGGTTCTGATACTGATGCTACTACTACCATTTTACAGGGATATATCCTACAAAGGGGCTCAAGGTTTCATCTTCTTGGAACACCAATTTTACTTCACAGAGAATGACTTACACCTGTATGCTTATATTAAAACTTATACAATATTCTACTGAAAAATGTAACATTTCTATATTTTGTTCTCAAAGTTTTATTACTAAAATTTTCAGACTTACACCAAAGAAGAGAAATAGTCTAAAGAACCACCACGTATTTATTACCGAGCTTCAGCAACTATCATTCTTCTTCAGTTCTATTTCATACGTCCTCTCTCACGTTTTTGTTTTTCCTGGAATATTCTGAGGAAAACTACAGATATAATATTTTACCTATATATACTTTGGTATGGATCTTAAATAGACAACGATAGT